TTTATTGGCTCTCAGAGGTCATGTGACTCCTTCTGGGCATTTAAGGTTGGCTTGTGATTTAAAAGGCCAGCTTCTCCCTGCTATGCTAATAAAATATAGGTAGCTCTTGCTTAGCAATCACAACTGGGATCAGCCACTGCGTCATTAAGTGCTGTGGTCACCAAGTGGAAAATCGTGTGACCACAATGGACTTATGACCTTCCCATTTGGTTGTTGAGTGAAACATTACGTGACTGCAGCTTATGATCTAATCTCCACCTTCTCTATTTAACTCTGCTTGTTGCAAGCCAGTTGCAAAGCACATGAAAGATGGCCACATAACTATGGGATGCTGTGATAGTTATAAATGTGAGAATGGGTTGCAAAGCTATTTTTTCTGCCATCATAACTTTGAACAATTGAATAAGTGTTGACTTCCTGTAGAAGCGTGCTATGCTATTGTTGTAAATTCTAACACAGCTGGTTCATTCATGTCTAAGATGCTGGAACTAAGAAATATGACTGATGGTGGTGAAAATTAATGATGATTCAGAAAACTGTTTAAAGACGTCTCAAAGAATCTCTTTGGATTTAAATCAAAGGAATTATCAAATGTTACAGTGTTTGCCTGCTAGTATGACAGCTTTCCCAAATCCACCACATTACATATATTATTTTTAAAAAAGTAATTTGCAGGATTAGCTCATAAAGGAACTAATGAATCAATTATCCAATATTAATATAGTAAGGTTTAATTCATTTCAATTTATTTTGTAGGATTGGATGCGAAATGCATAACTCTGGATGTGCTAAGCTGGGAAACTATGTAAGATGCAAGAGCTTAAAACCAATATAGCAAAAATCGGATAAAGCTTGGAACAGATGAAAAAGTTCAAGACATTAGAGTTGTTATGGATTATGCAGAAGAAAATAGAACTTCAAGGCCTTGCCTGGAAAATATTAAGAAAAACCAGTTTATCTTTCCAATCCAAAGCATGCAATATCAGGGTGCCATAGTGAACATAATTATGTACAATAAAAAAACATTTGTACTTTTGTTTTGGTCAATATAGATAGTTACATCTCCAGACAAAGCACTGATCACACCCAGTCATTTTGTAAGAATGGCTAAAACAAAATCTATATGGAGCCCAAGATGATGCAAGGAGCTAATGCTTTGTTTTGCAGCAGTCCAAGTTACTGTAATTGTTTTATTTTTGTTTGCTTGTTTTTTAAGATCTTAAAAGTCAAGTCAAGTGAACCAGGGAATTTGAAGGGTACCAATGAAAAGGTAAACTGGTGCAGTCTTCCCTCTGCAACTAGCTGCCTACCTCTCAGCTGATCTTAAACAGGGGATGAGAAGCTATTCAGACAAGCCATCCTCTTAATAAACTGGAAATTAAGTACTTCCTCCAACTAACAACCTGCCTCCAGACGTTGTGAATGCTCTAACACTGGAAGTTTTTAAGAAGAGACTGGACAATCATTTGTCTGAAATGGTATAGGGTTTTCTGCCTGAGCAGGGGGTTGGACTAGATGACCTCCAAGGTCCCTTCCAACTTTATTATTATTATTATTATTATTATTATTATTATTATTATTATTATTAGTAGTAGTAGTAGTAGTAGTAGTAGTAGTAGTAGTAGTAGTAGTAGTATTTTTTATTGGCAGGCCTAAAAAAGCAAACAGAATGAACTGAACGCATAGGAATTTCTCATCCTCACTTGCTAGCTATAGGGTCTTTCTGTGAAGAAGCTTAGCAGATTTGCTACTGTATGTCTTCAGTAAATAGTATTTACTGTATAGGTCAGGAGTGTCAAACTGCCGGCCCGCAGGCCGGATGCATCATGCCGAAACCGCGCCCACCCCATTGCCAGCAATGGAGAAAACATCATGATACGTCATGTGACATTGCGAGTTTGACACCCCTAGTATAGACTATAATGACATATTTCATAAGAATCAGATTGATAAGATTCATTACCAGGATATGTTTTTGTTCAATATTTGTTTCTTTATTGCTAATTATTTTATCGTGCTTGTTGCTGCTGATAAATCTTGTGTGATTCTTTGTAAGAATCCTCACTGGTGGAGGGGGTCATTTTCCTAAAAGTTGGACCAGACTTAGCTTCTCTAAGCCTTGAGAGTAAACTCAAGAGCCTATCAGCTATCATGGATTTGAACTAATAAGAGTGATGGAAGAAGGAAATTCTGAAAATAAGTGAGAAATATGGGTTAAGATTAATATTGTGGTCCTCCACAATATTAGAGTGTACATTAGAATGCCCTTGGTCTCCATGTAACTCTTATTACACTACCTCATCCTTACCTGTACCTGTCCATTTTTCCTATTAATTTTTGTTGTTATACGTTGATAGCAGTGCAAGAGTATAGCTTCTACATTATCTCATAGGTGTATTTAACATTTTGGTGTTTGCACACAGAAAGTTTCATTCTTTCCATGGTTGTCTGAAGGAGCTATATTGGTGGACTCAAAATGCACTGTAGAGAGTGGATGGAACACATGACAAGAGAAGGTTTTTAGTACAAGAGCCTGACAAATCTTAAAATTACTGCTACTGGATAATTATTGTTTTGCTGTGGACTTCCATTTTGGCCTAGTTTTTTTTCATGGATTATTTTTAGTTTGTCTACAATTTGATCCATACCTTTGATCTAACAGGATCATACACAGAAGTGTCCTCTCCCATCATAATATAAAAAGAGCCACAGATATTATCATCATTCTATGAAGTTCTTTTGGGGGAGAATGGTTTGGACTAGACTCCAATTAGGGTTAGAAAGGAAATTAATTAAACAATATCTTCTCATCTTTTTTTGCAAGTCAATTTTTTTATTTCAACCTTTATTTTTTGGTTTAACAGCAGTCTAGCTTCCTGAAGATCCCATTTGGCTGGCAGGCATTCCAACCACATGAATCCTCATGTTCTCATGCAACCAAGCCTAGATCCTCAAATGCATAAAAGGGAGGCCAACTCAAAAGTCTCCACTGGAGGTGTCTCATATCCAGATCTTTACTCTTCTTCTCTGCAGCCCCTTCCATCGGAGCAAGGCAACATGAGTCGTCAGATTTCAGCAGGCAGCCAACGAAATGCGCAAAGCCACTTTAACCACTATAGTGCAAGCAGCTCAAGCTCCTGGTTCCATTCTGGCTCCAAGAGCAGCAGGAACATGTCTAACTTTGGAGGAAGGACAACTTTATCCCTGTGTGGAGATCACAAGAGTGGCACCTGTGGAAGTGGAATCCAGGGAGTACCAAGGAGATACAGCATCCAGGGAATACATGTTGATCCAAAGCTGTTGGAACCTTTCCATGTCAGTATCTCCCCCGAGATCCAGAAAGTGAAATGCAAAGAGATGGAGCAGATGAAGTCCCTTAATAGCAAATTTGCTGGTTTCATTGATAAGGTAAGGCTTTCAAATCTAAAGGTTTAAAGTTCTTTACTCTACTGTGCTACTGATAAAACTAGGATTGCTTGTAAAATTTGGCACATTTTTTTTAGGCTGATCCTGTTTTCATTTCAAGATTACTGTTGCACTAAGAATTCTTATTTTGCCAACATGGTACTTGCTTTTGTCCAAATATTGTTCTGTAATGCTCATTGCTCATTTTTGGTTATCTTCTGCACCCAATCATAGTGCTCACTTGAGGTGAACTGCTAAAATCCAGGCTTTACATAACCTCTCGTAACTACTTTGAAATTGGAATGAATATTTATTCTTCCTCTTTTCCTGACATCTTTTAAAATATATTTGAAAATGTCCATGTTACAATATTGTTTCTATGGAAGTTAACAAGCTGAACCAACATAAGAATTATTGCGGTCTACTAAGTATTTTGTTTATGAGCCAGTAACTTTATTGGGCTAATTAATATTCAAGTCTGAAGCCTTGAGAACAACTGCTGTGCCGTGTCCCTGCCATAGTTTAATTTACATTGAGCAAACTCTGTTCTTTCAGCCTTTTCTAATACATATTCTACCTTCTAGACCAGTGGTCCCCAACCTTTCCAGCTTGGCAGACTGGCGGGGGGAGGGGGAGGAGGGGATGGTTTTGTGTAAGTGGCAAGTGCGCATGCACATGTGCAAAGCTCCATTTGCATGAGCAGCAGGCATGCAAACCCATCACTCACACAAATGGAGCTTTGCACCCACACACCCACTGACCACTCGCACAAATGGAGCTGCACGTGTGCATGCTCACCTGCCACTTGCATGGCCCAGTCCCAAACAGGCCACGTCCATGTACCAGGTCACAGCCCCAGGGTTGGGGACCCCTGTTCTAGATTACTCCTGTTTTGGCTCTGGCTTCCATTTGGATTATCCATTTATCAACCCAATAGTACATTGTGCATCTTTGTTAGATTGGACTGCTAAAATGGTGTTTGAATTGCAAAGCATTCTATGAAACAGATCTTCCGCTTTGGTTGATGGATTGCTTTAATGTACTGGTAGATTCATGGATGGATTTCACCTTGGGTTTTAGGTGCAGCGCCTGGAACAGAAGAACCAGCTGCTAGAAACTAAATGGGCCTTCCTGCAGCAGCAAACCAAACCACCCACTGAAAGCTTAGAGTGTATGTTTGAACAATACATTGCAAGCCTGAAGAAGGAGTTGGAATATTTGCAATATGAGAAGGAGAACCTGCAAAATGATCGTGAAAGTGCAAAGGCACAAACTGCAGATTGCAAGTGCAAGTGAGTTCCTCTTGAATTATGCAGAGAAGATAAAAAATGACATAGACTTCGTGCTCCTTAACAAAAACTGCACCAAGTCTCTTATGATGCTGAAGGGGTTGACTTGGAAGCAAGCTTCACCAAAAATAATGAGACTTACAACTGAGTAGGCCTGCATAAGATTGCTCTGTCTAATTCCCGTTTTATATGTATTCAGGCTATGTAGCACATGCAGTAAATGTAGGAAGTGGCTTTCTGAGAAGGAGATCATTGTTTTTTTCTACCTGAATTTGTCGAACAGATTTCTCATATTGTAGTGCTCCCTTTTTCTTTGGTCCCAAGGTAGCTCAAGAATTTTTTAGCAAAAGTCCTGACACTAAGCAATGGAGGAAAAATAATGGCATCTGGTTGTATTTCAAGAATCAACCATGCCTTGGGATGAATGTGAAGATGGATAGTATATAGAGCTGGGGAAATTGTATGGGAATTTTGGAACAGGGTTTTATTGCACTAAATTGTTTATTCCACTATTGTTAAAAGAACAAACAAATAGCCATATATTTAGGAAAAACAATCTTCTATCACCTGTTACATATTCCCTTTAGGAATAAGTGAGACTGAGGTTTCCGTGCATGGGATGATCAAAGGCCTGGAGACTAAAACATATGAAGAACGGCTGCAGGACTTGGGTTTGGCTAGTCTAAAGAAAAAAAGAAACAGGGATGACATGATAGCAGTATTCCAGTATTTGAGAGGCTGCCACAAAGAAGAGGGGGTCAAATTATTCTCCAAAGCACCAGAGGACAGGACAAGAAACAATGGTTGAAAACTGATCAAGGAGAGAAGCAACCTGGAATTAAGGAGAAAGTTCCTAACAGTGAGGACAATTAATCAGTGGAATGGGTTGCCTTCAAAATCGTGGGCGTTCCATCACTGGAGGTTTTTAAGAAGACACTGGATAATCACTTGTCTGAGATGGTATAGGTTCTCCTGCTTGAGCAGGGGGCTGGACTAGAAGACCTCCAAGGTCCCTTCCAGCTCTATTCTATTCTAAGACTTCTATTCTACTCTGCCCATAATTTGCCAATATGTCAGACAAGGCTTATTTTTCCAGTCTTCTTTCCCAGAGATATTTTAGGAGTGATACATATAGGAACATTTGAAACCAGCATAATAACATTGGGAAGACTATAATTTCATGTCATCTGTGTTTACTGTTTGATTCATCTCCCTCTCTTATTATACTCTTGATGGTCCTCCCTTCTAGATATGAAGAGAAAGTCAAGCAGCATGTTGCAGCAGAGAAAGAGATTATAGAACTTAGGAAGGTAAGCAGAGCAACTCCTTAGTGAAGCTAGTTTAAAAAAAAAAAAATCAAGATAATGAGCAAAGGGATAAATTTTACATTTGAAAAAAAAACCCCTAATGGTTCTCAGATGTTATTGTTACTATCATCATTATTTTTCAATATGATTCTGTTAATCTAATCTGTCAATTTTTAACAAGAATGAAAAAAAGAATATGTTCAGTGTCAATAATCAGCCAGATATTTTGGATAATATAATATATCCTATAATAGCATTGCAATATCGTTTTGCAATGGTATCCTTGCAATTGTGAATTTGGAGTAGTATGTTTAAAATAGGTGACAGATAAATAGCTACAGTATGCTGATTAATAAAACCTTCTAAATTAGACATTGAATCAGTATTCAGATACTAAGTAGGATCATTTTGCAAATGTAAAGTGTATGGATTTTTTTTTTTGTTATTCACACAGTACTATTTCTATCCAATTTAATGGTACATTTATTTCACATTCTTCCCATTATTCCATATGATCCTGTCATTTTATTTTCTTCTATTGGGTTCTGAAAAACATTGCCTCCCAAAATAAAAAATGATTTCTTATTACAAATGGCTTCATTTATGCAACCCATTAAGCTTGGTTAATTTATCCTGGTCAGACTTTTATGAGTCACAACATGCTGTATAAACCATCCACTTTCTACCAGCCACCTATACCTTAGATCAGGGGTGTCAAACTCGCAACATCACGTGACGTGTCGCAACGTATCGCGACATTTTTGCCATTGCCAGCAATGGGGTGGGCACGGTTTCGCTATGATGCATCCAGCCCGCGGGCCGGCAGTTTGACACCCCTGCCTTAGATCATGGTTCAAGGTAATTGGTTTAATTCTATACATCAAGCATAAAACAAATTTAGCATGTGATGTGAACACAGAAACTATGAAATACAATTACAAATGTTGTTATATTTTATATTTTGATAGGAAATGGTATGAAAATGTAGTTTAAAACTCAATAATTAAAAGCACATATCCAAATGTTTTTTTTTAAAAAAACCCTGCAGAAATAAATATAGAAATAAATCAAATATAAAAAAAAATAGCAATAACTTTTAAAAATGGACTCACCCTTTCATGTATCCACGATCTTACTTTAGGTGTGTATTTAAAAATATTTTATTTGCCCCACCTTTCCCAAATATTTGTATGATATGTTTAATTATAATAAATAGCTGAAAAGAAGAAAAGGGCCCCTCTACAGCACAGTATTTTTACTCAAGAACAAAAAACAAAACATATTTTCTACTTAATGCTTTTGCAAATAATAGAATAAATTCCTTGGTACAAAGGGAGATATTCAGCTTCAGTTTAAGGGCCATCAGATGGGGACATGAAACCTGGGAATAATGGGTTTAAAAATCATGGCATGATATTTGTTGTTGTTATTTATTGCAATTTTTAAAATAACTTTCAATCCCTCTAATAGTTTAAGTGAATGCTGATCCCCCCACTTCTTTGGAAATCTTCCCATAAAAAAGAATATAATACGAGAATGTCATCTGTTTAGGATGTAGACTACATCTTTTCAAATAATGCAGAGCTGGAGCGGAAAGTCAGTCTCCTGGACCGAGAAATCAAGTTCTTGAAATGTGTATATAAGAAGGTAAGTAGGGAGGGATCCACTCAAGAGATCCTCTTTCCTTCACGTGATCACTGCTTGGCCTAGGCTACAGAACTGACAATGTATTTGAATCAACATCTAGGAGAAAGAACAGCTTGACAAACAAGATCAAGATGTGGATGTGGTTGTGAAAATGGACAACAGTAGAAACCTTGACATGGACAACATCATAGCCATGGTCCGAAAACAGTATGAGGAAATTATGCAGAGAAGTAAAGCGGAGGCAGATAAATTTTACCAAAACAAGGTATTTCACATCAGTGCAAAACTTGGTAATTTTTATTTGTTTTTTTTTAAAGACCTATTAATAAAAAAAAATCAATACTTGGTAAGTGAAATGCCACAGACGTTCCCTGCTTATTTCTCTTGTTGCTTTTGCTAACTTTTTAACATAGCTCTGTATATGTTTGTGATTTCCTTACTGACTGATTACCAATCTACCTTCTTAATGTATGGGACACTGCTCATAAGAAATAGGGTTGCTTTTCATGTCACATACAAAGGCCTCCTGAACTAACAGAAGAATCTTACTCAGATATAAGTGACAGGAGAGCATCCTCTGTTGTAAAGGACAGCAGTGGCATATCCTCCTCAATCTTCAACATCTTCTTGCTGCTCTGTCTGGCTCTTTCTTGTTCCTCGCTCAAACAAATGTTGCAGTAGAACAGTCCTAATGTCAGCAAATATCCTGTAACCACCACAAAGAATGTATGCGTACCAGGCATTCTTCAGTTATGGCTTCCATTGAATGGCTTTCCATTCTGCCTACTTGCATACTTTCTCACTAAGAAGAAAGGGATTAGGTAAGACTGATAGACATCCCAGGCAAACAATAAGAGATACTCAGCAGAAGTGTGGCCAACAATCTACCGCTAAATGGTAGGACTCCATTGCTTGTAGCCATGTACAGTAGCTATCAGACACTGAATCCTGCAAGAGCTGACACCAGTTCTTCTCTCTGTCTCATCTTCAACTGGCTGAAAATGAGGGCAACCTGAGATCGTCAGAATTCATCATACAATTATTAATGTTAGATAAGTTATTTTGCAGTGGTTTGGACTATTTTTTTTTAAAAAAAATCTCTTTAAAAATATAAATTTCAGCAGGTTGCATAATCTTAATTTTCATTTATAAAGGTTTCCCCTCCAAAAATTACTTTGTTAGCAAATTGCCTTGTAATATTTTCTGTGTCATGAGCCACTTTGAATATGATTAGCATGGAAAAGCTGTAATGTAAACATATGATTGTGATAATTTTAAAGAAAGGTCTTATATTGACACCCTTAGTATGAAGAGGCTCAAAGTAAGAGTTCTAGTTACAAATGGGATCTGAAGAATCGAGAGCAGCAGATTTCAGAACTTATCCAACAAGTTGAAAAAGTCCAGGGTGAAATTCAGAGTCTGCAGAAGGAGGTAAGACTGGTGCAATGCAAATTAGACAACGGGGGGGGGGGGGGTTGGGGGTGGTAGAATAATTCAAATTTCAAATTAGCAATAGTACAATTCATACATGGATCTGAACTGGCTTCAGGAAAGTGTTGCACCCGTGGCTTCTTGTCCTCTCCTCCTGGCGCTCTGGAGAATAAATGGACACCTTCTTCTCTGGGACGGCGCTTCAAGGATTGGAAGATACTGTCATGTCACCCCCTACAACCGTTCATCACACAGTTTAGCAACTTTGTGTTCTGTCCCAGCCTACTTGTACTCCTTGTTAAGTTCACAAGGAGAAAACCCCTCTTCCAACAAGCAGGCTGGAACCACAGGGAAAAAAA